TTTTGCACCATGTAACATTTCCACCCAACACTTTTATCATGAAATCTATCCATATTTTTTTTTTAAACACTTTATCAGTACACCAATAATGTACCATGTATAAGAAAAATTACATTTATTTCTTCGTTGTGTTCAAGAAAACCAAATTACAACGTTATCAATATTTTGACACAACGAAGCTACTGTAATATATACTATTCTTTTCTTTTTCTTTATGATCCTATATGAACACGCATTTCTTTTTCTTATACTAATTAATTAATTAATTAATTAGACAACTGACGCGTTACATACGCCAACATATAATTACATGCCTGATCAGGATGTATATTCTAATATTGTATCAAAAGACAAAGTAGCTGTCACTTATGATCCTAATCAAAATTAATCACTTTGTATTCGTGTGATTATAATAGTCTTAATCAAATGAAACGAAAACGAGGTCCCAATATAATCGATTCCATGTATCGCTTGTTCTAAGATAAGAGATTCGAAAGATCAATCGGTCAAAAAAACACAATCTTCTGATAATTTTCAAGATGAGTTGTACCTCTAATACGATATGTATATACTAAAAATTACTTTGTTCTTTAATTTGATGAATCGATGGAGACAAGATTGTACAGGAGTATTGGACTAGAAATGGTTTGAAATTTTCATTAACGTAAATAAATAATGCAACGTCATTGCAGTTTTACATTCCCTTCCTGCAGTGCTTGTATCTTTTACAAAAATAGAGATGGACTTTCTCTAAACTACCAGACTACATAATTATATAAAATTCAATTGTTTACGTATAAAAAAATTAGATTTTATCGTATTACAGAAAATAATTCTTATTTATCAATTCTTATCTAAATTTGCAAAACACATTTCTACGTCCATCTCTGTGCAACAAGGATATCGTTTTAAACAATGATTAAAGTAGTACAATTTAAATACTTATTCCATGCATACTAATTCTCTATATAATTTACTCGTAACGAGAGAAACTAAATTGATAAAAATTTCTTAATCTTAGTAAAAAAATTTATTACCTGTTAAAAAAGAACAATTTTTATAAATTTGTAGTCAAAAACAAAATGTTAATACATTGATTTGATTACACCTTGTTAACTATCGAGTATGCATGGAAATGGAATATATTGGCATTAAAATACAATAATATAATAAATAAATATTTTAATCTTTAATTACTGATGTAAGTTATACTTACAAATAATCCCGTTAATACTTAAATTTAGCATTTGATATAATTATACAATTGGAATGAAACATTATCTGTATGTTAAAGACAGGCAGTCTGGTTGTATTGTAATGCAAAATGTCAAAAATCGACAACTAAAGTGAAATTATCTTCTTGGCAGCATAATATACAAGGCAACGATAATTTTATACAGGATTGTTGAATGTCTGGACATAAGACGTTGTCCCATGGTCTCAATTACAATATATAGCTTTCTTATGAAAATGGAATTTATCTATACTTGTATTAAGTAACAATTTAATTCCAAACTTAATCCCATTTTATGCACAGAGGAGGAAACGAAGATGTAAAAAATGACAACAAAGATGTTGTGGTCACTGTGCACTACTTTAACATTGAAGTGATTTTTATATATGTAATTTTAAACACATTCAATTTAGAGAAATTCATTTGGAAACAATATAAATATTTCACTGACAAGACAATAAAATATTTTCATTCGTTTTTTTTTTTCCTTTTCTTGATATCAACAGCGAAAGAAAGTTACAAAACTATCGTTCCAAGGGAAACGTTCTGTATTATGTAACAACTGTTCCCATAAATCTTTCACTCCAATGAGTCCAACATTTTCTAACACAATATGTTTGCATTTTTAAATTCAATCAGGCAAAGCTGTAAGGATCAATAGTTTTGCTAGAACAAGGTTGGACATCGTCAGATGGTGGTTGCCATTGTCCAGTCCACATGGCAGTACGGTCCATAGCTATTTCTGCTGTTTTCTCCATACTATTACTAGATGTACATTCCATTTCCCAATGGAAACCATTTTGAGTCACTTGCATTGAACTAGATTCATCTATGCCACAATAGTCTTGTGCTTTATTGTTCACTGGCATTTGTAAAGTTTTATTTCTAACTTGCATAGAACTACTGCCTCTGTGCTCAGCACCAGACCAAGGTCGGGACTGCTCCACCGACTGTAGAGGTAATTTTCGCGGTACCCGCCTAGGTTTATTATCTTCCGAAACATGACCACTATTGGGTTTGGTACTTATTAAATTTCCATCGCCCGTTGAACTACTATCACCATCTCTTCTTCGTCTCCGTCTTCTCCTTTCAATGTCGATGTCACTTCTTTGAATATCTTCGTTGGTTTCTTGGGTATGTAAAAAGTGCTCCCTCGCAGAAGCCCAATGATCTTTTCTACTAGCGTCTTGTTTATATTTTGTATCATTCCCGTGATGGCCGTTGTTCGTATTTGTATCACTGTCTGTATTTTGTTTCCTTGACTGTTGATTTTTAACAACCCACGAAGCAGGCCTCTTGGGGCTTCGCTCTTTGAGAGTGACCTGAAAAAATGACGTATTCGAATTACATATCAGTGGCAGTCTAAATACACTTGTAAGATAATAATGAGAAATAAAATTATTTACTCCTGAAGAGGAAGAATTGTCAACAGGTTTATACAGTTGCGTTGGTGTATGATTACGACTATCCGAACTCCTACAGTTTGACCCACTGCGACCATGTATCCACGAAAGTAAGAAAGCTAAAATAGCACATGACAATCCAAGTGCTGCCGCGGCAGACAATTGAGAACGAGTGCGTTTTGGCACCCAGCCACCGCTGTGATATTCCCATATGGAGCATGCTAATAATGCACTACTCAAGGCATAAGATAAGCCTATACCAGTGAATATCCAAGCATTCTATAAGAGGTGGATTCTATCAGATATATCAATGTCAAGACATTAAATCATTAATAAAGGTACATGTACAAAAATTTATATTTTTAATCGTAACATTAACATTAACTAAAGATTAAATAACTCGTAATAGATTAATAAACCATTGATAACTTACCAATTTTGCCCAATTGAAAGGAAAAACATAGATAACATGTGAAATATCAAGAAAAAGGAGTAATGCAGTGACCAAAAAACAGAAAACTGCTACAAAGATCATGAAACGCAGCCGCCCGACTAAAGGCAACATAAATAAGCTGACCTTGGCAGTACCGGAGCTGCACAATGTTGCCAAACATGCTGCAGACGATATCTAAACAATTTAACATAATTTATTGTTTCAGAAATACATAAATAAAGTATCATCTAAATATAAGTACTTACAAGTAGTAAGAGTCTAATAACACCAATAGCTGTTTTAAGATGTCCCTGTATATCGCAATAAAGTACCAAATGACTTGCTCTTGGCCAAGCCAAAGCATTCGAGGAAGAGCCATGGTGATCACCATAGCCATAGTGACCATGATAATTAGCATGTGAGTCCCATGAATGGACTGTTGAATGGACCCCTGGTGAATCCAGCTCCAAAGGTTGGGAGCTAATTTGCCCCCCTGTTCTACTGCCTGCTATTGATATAATATAAAACAATACATATGTTAACACATCCTACTAGATATTTATATTTATCTATCATTTGCTTTGCATTATAAATGATTTACAGTTTGCAGATTATTCTCATACCAATATCAAAGTCCTGAATATCCTCAGGTCTAGAATATGCAGAGGCTGGTAATTCCAGGTCACGAATCTCTTCTAAGAGAAGTACTTCTATCTCGTCGGCTGCATACAAGTCCGAAACCGAGTGAAGATGATGCCGAGTTTCGCTCATTACTTAGGCACGCTCGATTGTTTACTCCTTCCTGCCTGCCGACGGTCTTTCCTATTTGATCCACTATTAACCACCATTCGTTACTCATTGAATTTAACAACTGCTTCATACGTTTGCCAGCCATTGTCTATACATGCTGCGTGCCATCTCTTTTCTGCAGGCAATACCATCTCTAGGCCTTCAGGCCGCACCTACAGAAATTAATTGATATTGCATAACAGCAATAGGATTAATAATAAACCAAGAATTAATAATAAACATTCATTAGTTTATGATATAATAATTGCACAAGGATAGGAACAAAATGTTAAAATAAAAGAAAAAAACATAATTATAAATAGACATAATTTATTCTATATATAAGAACATAACAATAACAAAATAATAAACAAAAATGCATGAGAAACGATACATAATTGCATTAAAAATGTGTAAAAAATAATATATAATCATATTGATACAATTCAGTGATAAGTAACAAAAGTAATCTACTTTAAGATAGGATTGGTACTATACAAAAAATATAAAAATACACAATATGAAAATATAAAAGATTGAGTGAAGTAACACAAGAATTATTTGAATACAACGTTATCACGTTAACAATTAGAAATATAAAAGATACAATCTACCAACTATAATTATATACACTTGAATAACAACTTACGTGACAGAAATACAATATACATATTTTCAAACACGATTACATTTCATAACAGGTTGGAACTACATATCCTCCTGTTATTAATATACGTTGCATTTCAAATACGTTCAATATCATATTTGCATTCTTATCTTGGAACGTACATTAAAAATAAGAAATTAACGTATCAGCTACGTGTACAGATTATAAATAAAACATACTTCAATATAATACCGATTCTACCGTGCAAGCCACGGAGAAAATTCTCCCAATATGCGTTTTGTTACATTCGCTCTGTCCAACATTGATAGAGCGAATACAACAAACATGAATGAAAATAAACAAAAGTGAGCTTCATGATTATTTGTTCCTACAGGAAACTGCCTGTTAATTCCAGATCCACATGTGGTTGCATGTGACATCCCCGTCAGAATGTGCCAAGTACGAACGATCGTCGAATGTCGTTAGTTCAACGAGAGAGAGAGAGAGAGAGAGAGAGAACCAAAAAAAGAAAAAAAAAGTAAGAACATACCTCGATTTTGCTTGCAATGGACCGACACGAGGATCACATTTTTCCGAAATTTTTCGTGATAAACTGAATGACCGTCCGAAGAATAGCCGCCATTGCCTTTTTGCTGTTTTCCCTCATAATCTATGCTTGTCACGACGACCTAGAAACAGAACAGATGGAACAACTTGACCCTTTTTCCAACATTTTGTTATCCACGTAACAAAAAAAAACAGGATAGATGGGTAAATTGTTCCGCGTGCGACAATACTAACTTTCTTTCTATAGTAATTATCCCCTTTTGAAATATAAAACCCAAGAAACGACGTACAAATTACGATTGCACGTTCGAAAATTTAATTTTAGCACTCTCTCGTGGAACGCGGAATATATTAAATTTGTTAGATTCTGCATTTTCTCAATCAACAATAAATATGCGAAGTAAACAAGGAGATTATGTTAATGACGTTCTTTTTTAAGATAATCGTACGTGTATTTGGAGTAAATTATTTTTTAAAATTAATGTGTAATATATTTATATGTAATTATTATATTATTGTTTTGTATTATTTATATTTGATATATCATATCATTATATTTATTATATATTATATATAATATATAATATAAAATTAAATATAATATATATAATATAATGCAAATAATATACAATATATAATATATAGTGTATAATACATAATAAAAGTGATGTCCGAAATTAATTTTACTATAAGTAATTGCCTCTTTATTCAACGAGATTAATAACATTTTTCTTTGTCGCAAATTCACAAAATAATAAGGAGATTGTTTTGTTAACAATCATGACGTTCTTTTTTAAGAAATTCTTTGTCGATACGCCATACCGTCAGTATTCCCGTTGGAATCGCATTCATTAAAATCACGCCTTAAACGGTTTTTAGGTGGGCAATTAGCAATAGTAAACTATATGTCAGTTCGATCTGTCAAATTAAGAGGAGAGAATGTATCGGTCTTTCCGTTGATATTATAGTGCAAACGTAATGTGTTTGTAATTTAAAAAAAAGAAAAGAAAAAGAACACTAATCATGCGTGTTAAAGAACTATGATACTTACAAGCTAATTACTTACTTAGAAGTCATATTTGCGTGTCTCTTTAAGTAAGCATTAACCACATTTCGCATTTTCAAATCGTCTTTCATTATGAATACATAGTAAGTGTTTCAATATTAATTTCCTTTGAAATTATTATCAATTGATCGACTATTTCACGCTCATGAAAAATGTATTATTGTAATAATTTAACATAACGTGGATAATGTATATTGTTCGTAACTGATAAACGCCTGCTCGCGCATTTAGAATGACGTGTCGTTTGTTATCCTTTGCAACGTTTTCCATAAACCTCTGTACACATTTTTTATTTTTTAGCAATAAAAGTGGACCAGGCGCGTCGGGAAACAATTTTGATCGTTGGATACAAAGGACCAATATCCACGACGACTCTGCTATCACAAAAATGCAGCATCAGTTCTGGGTGACGAAACAGGCTTTGTCGCGAAAGCTGGGGAAAAAGGAGGATGAGTGCATAGTCGCGTCAGACGCAGAACTGGACGCCAAGTTAGAATTGTTTCACAGTATTCAGAAATCTTGTTTGAATTTGCAAAGAATTATCGACAGATACCAGGAGCGATTGTGCTGTAAGTTGATATTATTATCTAAACCACTGTAAGTTATTATTATCCGAACCACGAGTTGAAGTTAATATGAGAAGGGATTTAAAAATAATACAAATAACTATGGCGATATATCAAATACCATGCAGTTCTTGCGCAAGAAGAAAATGCAATGGGACGGTTCCTCAAAGATGCTGGCAAACAGGACAAAACCAGAGCTGGCAAAATGATGATAACAGTTGGAAAGTCGTTATCATATTCTGGCCAGCAAAGGCTCGCATTGAGCGCTCCATTGGAGCGGTTGTACCAGGAAGTGGAAACATTTAGACAAAGAGCTATCGAAGATACGCTGCAAAAGGTTCAAGCAATGGAGAAAGCTCGTACGGAGTACAGAGCTGCTTTGTCATGGATGAAAAACATCTCTCAGGAATTAGATCCTGACACATCGAAACAATTAGAAAGATTTCGCAAAGTTCAAACATGCGTAAGACAGTATGTACTGCTGATTATTTTTAATATCTAAATTCTATGTGCACCTGTAGGTACTTTAAACTTTTTTCTTCTTTTGTTTTTTGTTTATACAGAGGTAAAATAGCGTTTGATAATCTGGCTTTAGATTGTCTTCAAAAGGTAGATCTGTTAGCAGCAGCAAGGTGTAATATGTTTAGTCACGCTTTAGTTTTATATCAGAGTACTCTTCTCAGTTTCACCGAAAAGTCTGCACAAGCATATTCCACAATAGCGAACAGTTTTAAAGGCTACCAACGATACAATTTTATGGTAGTGAGAGAATTAGCTGAACCATCAAGTAAATTAGCTCAAGAAACTGGAGGTGACAATGATCTTGACGAAAAAGAGAAGTAAGCTATAAATTTCAAAAAGTACTAATAACAAGATAAATTCTACTGATAAAATATATTTTTTCTTTTTTTTATTACAGGTTGTCATTTTTTGACATGGATTATCATGACACTATTGAAAAAGCTGAAGAAGTAAAATCATCCCAAGAAAACACAGTTGAAAACAACAAAGAAAGTGAAAAACTATTGGATATTGAGTATGAGACAATAGATATGTTAGGATTAGAAGGATTAGATATAAATTCCAGTTCTCCGAACGATGAAATTACATCACAGTCAACCTCTAACGTCGAACATAAGAAAGATTTCGATGAACTTTTTGAAAATTTAATTCTAGATAATAATGCCACTCATAACGATATACAAGAAGGAAATCAATTAGAACTTGATAAAAAGTTTGATGAGCAAAGTTTAATAATGGGTATATTTGACAAATCTGATACAAATTTTAATTTGGCTAAATTCTCTTCCTTAGAGGAACAAAATTCAAGAGAACAATCTTTACAGTCTCTCACATCCGAAAATATGGTACTTTTGAATGATATTCTCACTGATAAACAGAACAATGATAGTGAGTGGGAATCAATATCACATAATACATTTTTACCACCAAATATATTAAAACAAAGTTTGGGTGATGCAACGCTTGGTATTGGACAGAAGAGTATGCCTACTACCAGCACAGGCGACAAAGTAAGTAAAAATCATTAGTGTTGTTGAGCGTTCGTTGCAAGAATCAGATTGAAAATATTTAAAGTGTTAATAAATTTTTGTCGTATTTTTTCTTAGAAAAAAAATAAGACTGGTAAACTAAAAGGTAATTCTTGGTTGGATTTGTTTGCTGAACTGGATCCTTTGGCCAACAATCCAATGGAAAATCTTTCCAGTGACAGTAACGCATCTGCTTAATTTTTTTAAATATTCAAATTTATCGATATTGACATATGATTAGTTGCAATTCATAGCAACAGTCACACGAGATATTTTATTTTTCCCAAATGTTTCTTACGTTTGTATTTGGATATATCATATTTATTTCAATTTCAACATTCCAAATTCGTTAGATCTAATAAAAATAATAAAATAATTGTAAGAATCAAAAATATTTAAATTTTCGTAAATAACTTTTTAAGCTGTATACCAAAGATTTAAAATCAGTGATAGCTTGTAAGAATGCTAGTCATATACTTCTTTCAAGTACATTAAAAATATTTTTTTTGTGATAATATTATCACTTTTCCTATTTATAACAATTATTTATAACAAAATATGTATATCATACGAATACTTTTGTTATCATTCCACATTGTGCAATCGAGTTTTTTTACGAATTATCGCTGTATTAATCAATATTTAAAAAATGTATGATACAATTATTACATCATTTTCTTTTTTAATATAATGAAATATCGCATACTGCTTTCTTTTTTAAATAAAATAAATACAATGTAAACAGATTACATTATCAGGAATATTGTTTTTGTATATTTCCTATATAAATATAAAATGTTTATGTATTAACAAAATACAGAATCACAGCGTTGACACCAAAATATAATTGTATTTCACGTATAAAAGAACTCTAAATCAAAACCTAATTTTCATCAATAACGCGTTCGAAATTTAAGCATCATAGAATTGTGCCATAGCTGTTCTGACTCTGGAACAAAACAAACATATGTATATTAAAAATCAGAAATATTCAAGAAAAAATATTTTTATATTGATTACATTAAAATCTCTCTAATATCTTATTAGATTATTATAATTTACAAGGACAGTTAAAGTCATTTTTAAATAAATAAAAGTACAAAAGAATATCCAAAGATTGTCTGTCATACTTATCAAATAATTGAAGATCTTTGCTATGACGTAATTGTTGCAGAATACGATAAAAGCCTAGTTCTTTCAAACGTGCTTGCCGTTGTGCAGCACCAGGTTCTTCCCTCCAGACTAGGTTACACACGCAAAAAACTGCAGCAACTTGCAATTTTACATTGCTATGCATCTACATCAGTACCATAAATGTTAGATTTCTGGTAAAACTTTAATAACTTGTTATTGAAGTGCGAATTATATAAAGATTATAGAATGACGAAGACATTTTATTATTGTATTATTTAAATAAATAGAAAGAAGATGATAAATAAAGAATGGAAAATAAAAAAGAGAAAAAAAAA